TATACACTCCCATATACATGATATCCTTTCCGAATCTGACAACATCTTGTTTGTTTGTTTGGTTTTTTGTTTGTTTGATTAGAGAGAAGCGCATCGACACAATAACAGACATTTAGTGTATGGAAAGACTAAGACAGATATAAACAACAGACAGAGAGAAAAGAAGTAGAACCAAACACAGTCACCCCCCAACCACCAGCTGGCCTCATCTTTAATTAGTCAACACTTACGATGGCATCAAATGAGCTGTGACTTCCAGTGAGACCATTGACTCCTCCCCTTCCTACGCCATTCTGGGCTGGACCAAAAGCCGGATGCTCCTCCCTCTCCTTGTAGTAACGTCTTGTCCAGGACTCCGGTTCAAAGACCGTTGACAGCTGATGGTTCTTCATCCGGTTCCCGTCTATGGGCGCTAGTGTCGGGTACTTAGAGGAAATGTCTTTGGAGTCAGGGCGTTTTGTGATGTAGGTGGGCTTTCCTGTCGTGCTGTTCTTGGAAAAAGGGTCCTTAGGAGTGAAGAAAAAGTTTAGAAATAACAATAATAAATCTTATTAAAACAATGTACCATTTCTTTGCGCCATAATTTGCTCAGAAATTTTTAAAAATAAGAACAATTCATATCAAAACAATTTAAATTAATTACTTTGTACTTCTCTTGCAGCGTTTTCAGATCTGTTAGTTATTCACCTTTTTCTTTTCACAGAAAGAAACAGACTAGTGTTCTCGCTCTTTTTCCTGTTTTCCCATAAAACAAAGGGAAAACAAGGCTCAAACTGCACTCCAAATCTCACTTTAGCAAATGTTAGAAAGAAAAATAAGACAGATTTTAATACAATGTACATGTAATTAATTGTTAGAAAGTAGTTCTTCCTTAGTGTGATGCAAAACAACAGAAATGTCGGAAGTAAATGAGAGACCGATACGGACAGACTGACAGACAGACAGACAGAATAAAAGAAGGGGATGGGGTGGGAGGTGACGTATTCAACCTCCTACCCCATGTACTAGTAGGAACAAATCTGTTTTATTTCTCCTTCAGTGAATAAAAGAACAAGAGATCATACAATTTTAGTGATTTTAGTAAGTTACTGTGACAACTTTTCACATTTACGAACAAACTAGTTCCATAAAAAATATACACAATGTACTAAAGTTGAAAAAATGTACAGAAAATTGAGGTAGCCCATCCGGCACCGGTACTAATACTGAGGGTAATTTGCCATTTACAAAAAGAAAGACAAAAAAGAAGTTCATTCAGAAATCTAGATTCTATATATAGATCTAATGTTTCACATGAACGTCGGGCGTGGCAAGCTGGAAAATAATAAACGATGGGTATGGAATAAGGAGCGGTGTGGTTGGGGGGTTGCGAATAAAAAAACCCTAAAATTAATACGCGGGGGGGGGGGGGGGGGGGGGGGGCTTATTCGATACCTTAGAGTAGTGCTCGAAGAGCGACAGCCATGGCTGTGCGTGGTCTAGGATAGTATTATAATTCAGTTCTATGGTTGCAAAAGTAAAACGTGAATTTCACACCGCGTAAGAAGACGGGAAAAGCTTAAATAACTTTGTGCTGAGAAAACAATCCACTCGTGGGCGAAGAGATTAAAAGTCATTCCTCACTATTAGCAAACATATTATTAATATGAAGATATTCATTGATGAACAGGTGGTTTCGACTGAAAAGATAGTTTTATTTCATCAGGAATATTAGAACAAGAAATACATACAAATCAAACTTTCAAACTCACTGCAAGCAACCAAAATCCGAAATAAGGGGAGAGAAATACATACCATTCCATATCATTTTTATTATGTTGTTAAAGTAAGTTATACAAAGGAAAATGTGCAGTTTTGACTTTTCGGAGAACTCCAAGAAATCCGTTTGTTTTTTTTTCTTTCTTTCTCACAAACATCAAGAAATACATTCCTTCTTATGAAAACAAGAGATTTTTTTTCAAACTAAGAATTATTGAAGCCTTGTTGAAGTTGCTCTCAAAAACTTTCTACCTCCAATTTGTTTACACAGCGGGAATTCCTCCAAGTTATATAATTTATCTTATTATTATATTCTACCTGACATATAGAGGGATGTGTAAAGAAACGGATAGCCTATGATATGGCGCTTGTTATGATAATAAAGGCGCAATGGCGATGTTAGAAAGCAGAAAAATAGAGTGATAGAAAAAAGTCAACAAGATGAAATGATCGATAGATATATAGATAGATACAGAGATGCATAGATACTTAGATACACAGATACACAGATACACAGATACACAGATATACAGATTCATTCACAGACAGATAGACAGACAGACAGGCAGACAAAGAGACAAATAGACAGACACACACACAGACACACAGATAGACACACGGACACAGACAGACACACACATACAGACAGACACATAGACACAGAAATTGACACAGAGCCAAATGAATCATTCTTGATAAGAAGCTGTGTTGATAACACTAAGAAAAAGTTCAAGATGTTATTCAAGGTGCACACCGACTCCACATTGTTAGAGTTTTTGTACTGAAGTTTCAGGGACACTGTTGTCATTTTTAAAACAATAAACAGAGGGGGTGAGTTTATCTTTCTCTCTCTCTTACTGTCTGTCTGTCTGTCTGTCTGTTTGTCTGTCTGTGTGCCTGTCTGTCTATCTGTCTGTCTGTCTGTCTATCTGCTTTTCCCTCCCGTTTCTCTCTCTATTTCTGTCTGTTTGTCTCTCACCCTCTATCTATCTATATCTCCGTGTTTGTTTGTATGTATCTCCCCTTTCTCTCTTTTTCTCCCCCTCTCTCATTTCTCTCTCTCTCTCTCTCTCTCTCTCTCTCTCTCTCTCTCTCTCTCTCTCTCTCTCTCTCTCTCTCTTTCTCTCTGTATGTGTATGATTGTGTGCATGGGAGTGTAAAAAACGCGCGTATGGCTGTGTGCGCTTCTCCCAGATAAATTGACAGTTATTTGTTTATAAGTTTCACACAAGTAAAAGGTTTAATTCCATACCGCAGGCCTAGCATCACTGGGCTGTAGAAACAAGACGCACGTGCAAAAAAATATTAAACTTGGTTAGTTTGCGTTGCAAGTGCCGTAAAACTCTTATCAAAAACACAACTAAACAAGGCCAAACCTCACGCTACACAGCAAATGAACCACAAGCACGAAACCACTCAGGTTTATCGGAAATAAAGCGAAACTGTTGAGCTCTCACCCGAGACAAGAATAATAAATCAAATTATCCCATGATATATGCAGGAAGTTTTATAACAGAACAGAGAGATGCAGAAACTGTTTTCTTCCAGGTCAAATTGAAAAGGGCGGTTCTAAATGAAGAGGAAACGTCATGGGAATGAAATGTGGTAAAACGTAAGTATAAAACAGATTTATATCTGAAACAGGAAGTCTATATTTATTTTCCCATAGGGTTTTCCTGCATAGCCTACTCATCGTTGAATATCATGCTTAATAATATCAATGATAGTAAATAACAAGATAGGCCACTCAGTCAAAAAAGTGTCCGCAGGAAGTATGCTCTTTGCTTCAGATGGCGCTGCAGTCTGTTTTGAAGCTCTCTTTCGTTTTTCCAGAAGAAGAATAGGAATAGCACCTCCTTGCGTGCGCAGATCGACTGCTGTTCATCAGCAGTTCGGGTTCGTTCAGTACGGAGTTTTAGTTTTTAAAAATTTTAATGACCTCTTGCCTTTCATTCTAAAGTCAAATTAAACGAAGAAAACAATCACCCTTTCCTCCAGAAGAGGTTTTTTGTCAGCGTAACCATTAAAAAAAAGCGTTCTTCCGAAATTCATTCAAAAACTTGCTAGTTTCACTTTGATTTTTAAAAACTCAAGTAGGATAACTTTGTTCGCTAAAGGTGCGCTTTTGCGAAGAGGGCGCCACCGAATTTTGCGGACACTTTTTTAATTGGCTCAAAGAGAGAAGTGACCCATCTTGTCTTGTACTATCTTTGATAATATATGAGAACTGGGGATTCCCCTTACAACATGATTTTATCATCCCCCCCCCAAAAAAAAACAAAAAAAACAACAAACCACAACAAAAACAACAACAACAACAACAACAACAACAACAACAACAAAAAAACTACAACAAAAAACAACAACAACAACAATAAAAAAAACGTCTGACAAATATCCTAGATTGTGCACCCTTCGTATTTCCGGTTGGCTACGGGGTGCACCGTTTGAGCCAAGTAGAAGACAAGGGAGGAAGGTGCCGCCCAAACTGGACTATTAGGAGTCTAGTGTATTGCCCTTCATTTAGGCTTAATGGCACGGCCCAAAGTTCGAATGCTTCTCTGAGAAGTTTTCATAGAGATTGGTGAGTGATGGCAATGTCAGAAATTTTTGTTGTTGTGTCAAAAAGAAGTCTACGATTTTCTCTGGTGTATTCGGTGGTCACTCGAGTTGTCCACACATATGACAGCATAGTTGAACCTGCTCTAACAACCACCTGCCCAAGTCATTCACCTGTAAAAACGAATACTTCCCATTTCCTTCATTGGGGGATTTCGACATAAAAATGACAATCAAGGAGGACAACCTATCTAAGATAACCATGACTTTCCTCCTTGATAATGGTGGTTGTCTTAAAAAAGTTTTACTGTGCTTATGTGAACACGTGCAGACACACCATAGACTGTGATAAATTCAATAGTGCAAGTGTGTGTGTGGGGTCGGATGGGGGTTGAGGAGACGAGAAAAACTCCCACTTAAGAACAAGAGGCAGACCTCATTTGGGCGGTAGCCCTCATCAGACGCCAAATAGACGGGGTCTGCTGGTCTAATGCTGTCCTGTGGAAGGGCAAAGGCCAAATATGATCACATATAATAACTGTACAATACTGACAAGGACCATACTGAGAAGACGGGGTAAGAAAATCGAAAAAACCCATCCAACTACCAACAGCAACAACAAACAAACAGCCCCCCCCCCCCCACACAAAAAAAATTTAAAAAATCAAAACAACCCACAACAACATAAAAAAACAACAACAAAAAACTACAAAACTACAAAACAACAAACCAAACTAAACCAAAACAAGACTACCCCCCTCCTGCACCTCACCCAACATGATTTTTTTCTTTCTTTCTTTCTTTCTTTCTTTCTTTCTTTCTTTCTTTTAGTTATATCTTCTCTCTCTCTTTCTTTTTTTTGTTCAATCTTCTCTCCCTCTTTCTTTCTTTCTTTCTTTCTTTCTTTCTTTCTTTCTTTCTTTCTTTCTTTCTTTTCAATCTTTTTTTTAAAAAACGGGAATTCCAAGAAGTCTGAGAGAAAACTGCCATTACTTACAACTAACAGAACATTTGGGATACCAAGGCACGCGCAAAGCTGTAGATCCTAAACACTCTATAAGAATACAACTGTCAACAAGAAAAGCAAATGAAAACCAAGTGCATGATATATTTGCATTTCATAGCTGTATATTACCATTTTCAAAGAACAAACATTACAAGGGGAAAAGTGGATAACAGGGTCAAGGTT